GGCCTCTGTTTCTTTGTCTGTGAGATGAAGTCTAACCGTGCTGACCTCGCTGGGTCACGTTAAGTCTCAGCCTTGGGGTGTGACAGGTGTCCCTCAACACGTGTCCCTGCCTCCTGGGCAGGAAGTGCCACTTTTGAGGACCTGGGGACACACAGGCTCTGCACTGAGGCTCCTGGGTGTCCAGAGCCCCTGAGCACCTTGACATGTTCCTGGGACGTGCCTCCCTGCAGAATACTGGGTCGGACGGACCCAAGTGCTCCGTCAGGAGCAAAGAGCTCGGCATTTTTCCAGAAAGCAGTAGCGAGAGCTCAAGGACAACTGTTTTGCTCAGGAGGAGGATGTTGCAACCCATTTAATGGAAGCCTGGGCAGAAAAGGCAGGGAGACCCTGTCTCCGTCTGCCCGTTTCAACAATAGGTCTGCCATTACTCGCTGCTTTAGGCATCTCCCTGAGCCTCGGTTTTCCTTTCTGTTAAATGGAGATGGTGATGCTAGTATGCATCTTGCTGGCGTGTTGTGAGCCTTTCTCCATTCCACAGTCGTTCACTGAGCGCCTGTGTGGCTGGGGACAGAGCAGGGGCCAAAGCAAAGTCACTGTCCTCACGCGTCTTGCATCATAGTGAGTCCACGAGGCGATGTGCTTTGAGGGATTAGCACACAGTAGGTGCTCTAAAAATAGTACCTGCTGTTTGGCTAGCAGAGTCATTGAGGTTGTAGGAGTTCACCTTCTGATACTTGAGAGTGGTGACAGTGTAAACAAGGGAGGTGAGCCCCTGCCTTCCCCTCACCATTCTCCTCTGTACACTGTAACTTCAGAGCCTGATCCTGAGTAACAGGCTCCCACCTGCTGCCCCACTCTTCCCGGGGAACTTCCTACGGCCTTGAAGCACCCGCTGACGCTGTGCTGGGCCTGAAGGACCCAGTCCCAGCTCCCGCTTTGGAGGAGCGCAAGTTCGATGGAGAGGCAGATGGGGGTGCAGCCACTGGCAGAGCCAGGGTCCTTGATGAGAGGGCTGGGGTGGAGGTGCAGGGGGTGTGTGTCAGGGAAAGCCTCCCCTTTCGATTTCACAACTGGGCCTTGAAGGAGGGTAGGAATGCATCGGGTGGAGAAGGCAGGGAAGGGCCTTTCTGGCCAAGGGAACAGCTTTTGCAAAGAAAGGTTTAGGGAGGAAACTTGGGCTGGCAGTGGCTGGAAGGGGGAGATGACTGGGGAAGTTCCCCACTTAGGGAGCCCTGGCAGGTTTGGGACATGGGCCGCCGTGTCTTTTGGAAGGCGCTCTCTGGTTGTGGTGTGGAGGAACTGGGGGCAGGAAGCAAAGCGAGGAGGAGGAGGAGGAGAGAGGGTGGCCGATGCTGCCCAGGGCTCCGTGAAGTGACCGGCAGGCGTCCGGCCACCATGCCAGAAATGGTCACCAGAGGGCGCTGTGTGTCAGCAACCTTGGAGGCCTCCGCTGGTGTCAGGGTGGTGTGTGGGCACAGCTGTGCCTGTGGGCTGTTTCTGCAGCTGTGTGGCCACTCCACACTCATGGTCACACTTGTGTCCCTTGCTGTGTTCCTGTGTGCAAGGGTATTTGGGGGTGTGTGTACTTATACAGGTGTGAAAGGGGGCTTGTGGGGTTTTGTGTAAGAGTGTGTGAGAATGTACAAGAGATCCACATGGGTGAGAACAGGGGCCCCCCCATCTCCCACTACTCCAGCCACACTGTTATTCCCCTAGAAGCCACCCACCTCAGAGTCTTTGCACCCGCTGTTCCCTCCGCCTGCGTGCCTTTCTCCCGGACATCCTCATGACTCCTCTCTCACCACCTCAGCTCTGTGCTTACACGGCACCTTCCGCTGAGGCTTTTCCGGCCCTCCATCTTTAGAAGTACGGCCCCCACACCCAGACTCACTCCCTGTCTCCCTCCCTCCTCTGTCCCATAGCACTTCTTATCCACTGACAGACTGCAAGGTAACTTAGGCATTTTGCTTCTCTGGCTTGCCCACTAGACCATCACCTTGCCGAGGGCAGGGAGTCGTGTTGTGTCCGTCTGGTTCAATTGTCGTGCCTTCAGTGCTAGGCACGGAGTAAGTGCTCAACAAATTGTTGTTGAATGACTGAATGAGTGAGCTTCCCCAATCCTGGGTTCAGACCATCATCTCTTTCCAGTCCTCTGCCATTCCGGGTCCCTCCCACCTCTGCTCACACCCACCTCCTAACCCTCTTCCTCCCTGTGTCTCAGTTTCCCTGAGTCTACCGACAGGGGTGTTTGGGACTTTTGTTCTCAGAGTCGGGGTACGAGGCAACCTGTTGTGACCCCATCAAACACCCCTTCTGGTTTCTGGGGGATCGGGGAGTCCTTCAGCCTCACTGTGCTCCTTAGAGGCGGAGGGTGGCCCGCAGATGTTGCGGTGACTAGCCGGGAAGAGAAGAAGAAGCCCTCCCGTGGTGTTTCCGCCCGTGGCAGCAACGCAGCTCTGCGCCCCAGTCTGGCCCTCACACGTGGCCCCTTTCCCAGGGAGACCCTTCCTTGCTTCTCTGCCTGACAAGCTCCTAGGGATTCTTAAAGGTCCGTCTCAAAGTCACTTCCTCTGAGGAGTCTTCCCTGACCTCACCCAGGCGGTGTCTGGCACCTTCCCGAGACTCTTGCTCGGGCATCTATTTATAGCGCCCCACACGGAGTTTTGTGATTCTTGGGCTGTCAGGCTCCCTGACTAACCGTCGACTCCTCCAACTGAAGGGCCTTGTCTGAGTCATATGGGTGCCTGGGAGGCTGGCACGGGACTGGAGTCACCCCATCGATGTCTGTGGCGTGCTTTTCATCCTCTCTTTGTTCATTCCTCAGGTACTTATTAGGCACCTACTATGCACCGGGCCCGGGGCTGTGCATCAGGACTGCGGCAGGGGATGAGTGGGCAAGATTCCTGCTCAGGAAGGGCCGATGTCTAGAGGGAGAGCTGGCTTAAAAACAGAGCAAATAGGAAAGGCACTGGTGGCCCGAGCGCCGTGCAGAGAATAACCGCGGATTTGGGGGCATGACCAGGAAGGCCTTTTAGAGGAGTTCATTTATGCGGAGGCTTGCAGGCTGGAAGGGAGCCACCCCCAGAATCTGGGCGGGGAAAGGTGTCTCAGGCAGAGGAGACAGCGAGGGTGAAGGCCCTACGAGGCAGGACCGGTACTGGCATGTTCGATGGACAGCACTAAGACCCTTGAACCTAGCAAGGAACAGAGAGGGTGAGGGGGAGTATGGGAAGCACGGAAGTCCAAGCGGATGGCAGAGGCCTGAACCTAGAAAACCCACCGGACCAGGCCTGCAGTCCTGGTAGGGAGGTAGCTGCTGCTGGGTGCCCATTTTACAGATGGATAAGCAGCAGGTTCCGAGATGAAATGACTAGCCCAAGGTCACATGGCCCATTTGGAACAGAGCACTCCAGACACCCAGGAGTGGTAAGGCTGAGGTGGCTTCCTGGAGGAGGTGGCCCACAGTATATTTCCTGGGCACTTAGGAAGTGTCAGGCCCTAAGCCGATACTTCCAAGCCTCAGCTCATGAACTAACTTCAGAGGGCCTCACTGCCCCCATGGGACAGGTAAGTAAACTGAGGCATGGAGCTGTTCCATGACTTCTAGTAAGTGGCAGGGTTGACACTCAAACCTGTACCTGTCTGAGTCCACAGATCATGACTTTCTGTCCACTTCCTGGAAAGGGTGAGTGAGAGACACAGGAAGAGAATAATGATAATTATAACATATCCCCCCCTTTTTTTATCTCATCAGGCCCTCTCCATCACTGTGTGGGTGGGGCTCTGCAGGGGTCACCCCTTTCTACAAATGGGCAGACAGAGGTCAGCTCCCTGCTCCAAGCATTTCTAGCAGGTGGTGGAATCTGCTTCCCTCACGTGAGGTCCCTGGCAGGTCACACACTCATGCCTGCCCAGAGGCAAGGGGCTGACCCCTTGACCCTTGCCAAGCGCTTCCTGCCCTCACTAGCCCATGGCTTTCCATCTGAGTCACTTGATCCCAGGGCCAGATTGGTCAGTGGCTCCTAAAATGCCCCTAGACTCCATGTGGCAGCACAAGGGAGGACTGGTCTGTCTGCATTATACATTATACAGTCTGTACATATAGACTGAGGCCCCAAGAGCAGAGAAGAGAAACACCTTACTCCCTGCCAGGTAGAGAAGGAGGGGCAGTAAAGACATGACCATGAATGCTACATTTACTGACCTCTCGCTAGGTACCACAAAGTTCACCACTGTATCTCCACCCATTTCCCGGTGCCTGAACACATCAGGCCCTCGGTGGATGTTTGCAGAAGCAGGGAATAGACGCGCGCACGCCAGACACCGTGCTGTCAGCGTTTTACAACATTCAGTCACCAATGATAGTCCGCTAAAGCCCGGGTCTCCTTCTGACCAGCGCCAGGAGGCAGGGCTGTTTCACACAGGCCAAACCCGAGGCTCAGGGGTTACCTGACTTGCCCAAGGTCACCGCCAAGTAGGCATCTGAGCCCAGGTCTCGCCCCGGGGACGCTCTTTTAACCCCTGCACAGCACTTTGCCTTCCCGCTCCCGGGGGCCCCAGCCCCGCCACCCCAGTATAGCTGGGGTTTTTTCCAGCTTACGCACCCCAGACGGGCCCACAAAGCTCACTGGCAGAGCACGACTGGCCTGGGAGAGCGCGGGGGCGGGGCCTAGAGCCTGACAGGCGCCAGGCGCGCACAGCGAGTCCCCGGGAGTGGGCGGGGCTTGCGTCTTGACAGGCAGTGGGAGGGACACCGCTCCAGCCTAGGAGGGGACAGAGCCTGAGCGGGCCTGGGTTTCCCGGGCGGGGGGCGGGGCTTGACAGACAGTGGGAGGAGCCCGATTTGGGGCCAGCAGGGGCAAGGCTTGTGCGTGACAGGCAGGGCAACACCGGCGTTGGATAGGCAGGGGACGGGCCCTGGAGACTGACGGGCCAATCGACGCGCGGGGGCGGGGCCGATGTCGGCGCCGTCCGGCCGGGGCCCCAGCGGCGCTGCCCAGTCTGGCTCCGGCACCGCCCGTCGCGGACGCGTATTTGCCGCCACCGCCGCCGCCGCCGCCTCTGCTCTGCCACCGCGCCCGGGCCCCCTGCCCGCAGCCATGAGCGCTCTCCGTCCGCGTAGAGCCCGCCGTCCTCTCGATTAGTTCCTTCCGCTGCCCCTGGACCCGCCTGCACCATGGAGTCGCCCGCCTCCAGTCAGCCCTCCAGCATGCCCCCGACCAAAGGTAGGAGCCCCTGCTAGGGAGCGCGACTTGACCCCCCGCCCCCGCGCCCAATCCGGGCCCGGGCTGCGAACCCCGACCTCCGTCTGTGTGATCCCATTCCATACCGTACCGGACCCACGCAGCACATCGGCCCAGAACCCGTCCCTATTTGGGTCTCGGTCTCAGCTTAGACCTCACTTGGACCCCAAGTTTAGGCCTTGGGACTGCATTCGGGCCCGAACTCAAGCTAGGATCTCCTTCTGATTATTCTGATTACCCCGCTCCAGGTCAGAAACCTCACTCTGACCTCCTCATTTAGGCCTTAACTGCACCCAGAACATGAATTCTCCCAACGTGGGTACCTCAGCTGGATTCAGGGGGATTCACTGTGATCCTGCACCCAGCCGCCTCCCCCCTCCTTCTCCGTCCACTCCCTGGTCCCAGGGCTGTGGCCAGACTGGGATTTAACTGACACCCCAGCAGTGCTGCCCTGCTGGGGAATCACTGTAACCACCCTCACCCCCCTCACCACCCCCCCCGCCCCCACCATGTGAGTGCCTTGGCTACACTCCAGCTAAGAACTCTCTCCTCTCCCCTAACTCTCTCCATCCTTG